TTTCTCAAAATTGTAGACTTAAGCAATTCATTTTGCTATTGTCCTAAAATATTTGCAGAAGCAGAGAATAAACCAGGCTACACATATAGCAGAAATTTAGTCTCAGATGCAAGTAAAACCTTCCCTCACTCTCCTTTTCTTTGTTCTTGAAGGCGCTTATGTATTGGTTTTATGGGTAGGAAGGAATGAATACTGTATTACTAAGTATATCACTGACTGTGGTTTTCACATCCAATGTTTGGATTCTCAAAATAAATGAGAAGTCAGTGCTTGAATTTTAAAAAGATACTGGAGCATTTTAAATATGCTATTACCTACTTGTCATTTCGTTGATATTTTATTTTGACCTGCCGAAGAGTTCTTAGCAGCCTTGTGTTCAGAAACAATAGATTTTATTAACATGGATGAAAGATAAGTTATTCATAAAAATAAAATAAATACAAATCATTAACTTAAAAAATTCTATTCCCAAACTTTTCTAAATCATAATCGGAGTCATTTTCCCTTGTAAGTCAAGAATATTTGCTCTGTGAACACATGATGGCAAAAAATTACTGTCATCTTTTTGCATTTCACATGTTTGCTTGAAAAATAATATCGAATGCAAACTACTGATTAAGAAAACTTTAATATAATAAATACAACTACAAGAGGTTCTGTTCATGCAGTTATTAGTGTCATCCAAGTGAGTTCATGTCCATTATTGGCTACTGCCAAAGGTTCATTAAAGATTTAAATCTTAAAGCACTTGAGCGCTGACCACTTGCCTCCCTTAGAGGCCATCTTCTCTTAAAATGTTTGGGGTGAAAGCAATTTGTCTGTTATTTACTATTGGATCAGTGTAGCCCATACCTGACTTCTGTGATGTTGCCAAATTTCTAACGCTATTACCGGGATTTATTTTCTTTGCTAGTTTGCTACTCTTTGCTTTATTTCCCCTGATACAGTTAAAATGAGGTGGATGTTTGGAAAAACTTATTTGCCAAAGTTTTGGGGAAAACAAAGAATGCTAGACCTCACTTTTCTCAGAAATACAACTACCATATCATATGAAAACATGGGTTTTGACCGTAGACCTGGCTTTTAAAAAAAATCATCTTGAGATTCCACTTTTTTGAGCTAGTTCAACCCACCCTTTTTTTCAGGATCCCAACCAAAATCTCTGGAAAGTCTTTCTGTTTAAATATATTTAACTTGAGTATTGAGTTATGTCTGATGGGTCTTAAGTTTTGTTTCTGTTTTTGTTTTTTTTAAAGATTTTATTTATTTATTTGACAGAGAGAGACACAGCGAGAGAGGGAACACAAGCAGGGGGAGTGGGAGAGGGAGAAGCAGGCTCCCCACGGAGCAGGGAGCCTGATGCGGGGCTCAATCCCAGGACCTGGGACCATGACCTGAGCCGAAGGCAGACGCTTAACAACTGAGCCACCCAGGTGCCCCAGGTCTTAAGTTTTATAGCTACACAGACCCATTGGTGACTTTACCTACATTTAGAGAAATAGTGTTCTCCTTAAGAAAAACATTTCCTCTTGCTGAACCAGTGGGCTCAAATGGCAGCCAATTTTCACACTAACTTTCATTCAGTTAGACCGAGTTAACATATAATTTAATTGACTCAAACAAATATACATATTGCAAACTCCATTGGAGAGGACTGAAGGTGAGAAGGTCATTTAAAAGCCTTTTCATTAGATCAGGAGTGAATATACAGGAACAGAAGTAGGAATAGAAAAAAGAGAGGGCTTCACAGGTCTTGATGGATTGGATGTGGGGCTGGAAGAGAACGTGATTCTGCAAGCTGTTTTGGAGTTTGGAGCATTGAAAAGTGGCAGTCTTCTGGTGCCATTGTCAGAGAATGGGAGTCACGGGACAGGTCCAGTGTGAGGGGAAAAAATATTATGACTTAGAAGTGACTTTGTGTCATTGGGTAAAAATGTCCAGCAGGCTGTGGAGATACAGGCGGAAAGCTCAGAAAGGCGGTTGACATTTGTGATATAAATTTGTGTTTCAAGGTAACAGTTGAAACCCTGAATATCAGTGGGTTTGAGAAGAGAGTGTGGAGAAAGAAGTAAGAGACTGCTGATTAGTTCACACTTACTTCTGCTTCTCTCTTTAAATATGGTTACCACTGATGTGTTCTTAGTTCGGCAAAAACAGGTGAAAAGGCTTTCAAGAAGGATAAAATTTTTAATCTGTAGAGAATAGATTTTTTTTTATCTATAAACACACTATTCATACAATAGCTTAAATACTTTATGATAACTCTGTGTTACGATAATAGGTAACACTTTTTTAATACTAACTATATACCAAGTGCTGATATACATGTAATAACTCATTTATCCTTGCATAAGTCTTATCATATAGGTAATAACTTATTATTACTATTTTAAATATTTTATTTATTTATTGGAGAGAGAGAGAGCTCACTTGTGAGAGAGCATGAACTGGTAGGGGAGGGGGAGAGGGAGAGGGAGAAGCAGACTCCCCGCTGAGCAGAGAGCCCAAAGGACAGACATGGGGATCAATCCCAGGATTGACCCGACCTGAGCTGATGGCAGATGCTTAACCAACTGAGTCACCCAAGTGCCCCAATAGCTTATTATTTTTATCAGTACCTTTTTACAAAGAAGAAAAGAGAGGTGCAGAGATGTTAAATAACTTCTCTAAGGTCCTGTTGCTATTAAGTGGTGTAGCTGGGATCTGAACCTAAGTAGTCTGTTTCCAAACACTTACATTAGCCACTGTGCTCTCTGCCCTCAGATAAAATCATCCCTATTTAACAGTCTTTTCTTTCCCCTCTGAAACAGCTTTTTATTGAACAGCAAAGCAAAATTGCAGCACAATTTTAAATGTTTGTAAGTTAGGTCACAAAAGGGATGCAAAGTGTTTTCAGATTATTATATTCATACAGCTAAAGTCATTCATTGAATCTTACACCAATACAAACAGAAGATTATTCCATGACTAAGAGTAGCCCAAATTGGGGTACCTGGGTGTCTCAGTCAGTTAAGCATCTTACTCTTGATCTCATTCAGGTCTTGATTTTGGGGTCCCGAGTTCAGGCCCCATGTAAGGCTCTACGCTGGATGTGGAGCATACTTAAAAAAAAAAAAAGAGTACCCCAAATCTAATAACCAAAACTATATTAGTATCAGAAGTAATATTAAAATGGTAAATAGCAAAAGATATCCACTAATTTTTTTACTAAATGGAATCTACAAACTAAATTTTTAGAAACTGTAAAAAGAATGACTAAAACTGTAAACTAAGTAGTTAGGTTTACAGAAAATTCTGGAAAAGTAGTGAAATAAAATACTGAGAAAATAATAAATTAGTATGCATGTAAAACTCTCCCATTTTATTCATGATTCTGATACTAATACACTGTAAAGGGATTTTGTAAAAGTTGATCTGCTGGGTGCTACAAATAAACCTTGAGGCTAAACTCTGTTAACTATTGTCTTCTAGATGTGGTTTACTTGAGATTAGTCACATTTAATCTACTTTCATGTATGTATTCCCAGAAAGATCTAGTCTCTACCAGAGATCACACAATCTGTAGTAAAAACATTTGGAGTTGGTTACTACTGTTTGCCAAGTACTTTTCCCATCCTATTTCTATTTTTCCTCAAAACTTTCTATTTCAAATGTGTAACCAGAGCTCATCTTTTCAGATGCCAAGTGGATTATTTTGTCTACACAACAGTCTTTGATAGGCCTTTTCCAACATGGTTCTGCTTTACAAGTAGTCACATGGTTATTCTGTTTTATGTGAAGAAAAGATGACTCTCTTAGGGCTACATGTTGACATATTACTCGATAGGTTGTGGATGTTTCACATCATATTTTTAATAGTTTAGTAGATAGCATCTGGTTTGAAAGGAAATATATCAGTACATCATGTTGTAAAGAGAATGTGTTATGACAAAATGATCTGCTAGGGTCTACTATATGCAGATCAGTTGTCAAGCTAAAAAGCAGTGCTGACATTTTGAAATAATAAAATGTTTATATTATAAGCAAGGCTGAATAGTGCACACAGTTTAATGCATCTATGAATTAAGCCTCAAACATCACTGGTATTCATTGGTGAGGTTGGGATAATACTCTCCACCACCACACCAATTTTCTGTTGATTTAAGTAACTATGAAATTGGAGAGTAGTTTCTTCCTAAGTTTCTCAGATTTATTATACCAGAGTATTTTCTCTTGGTACAGGCTTGGGCTGGATTTACATCACAATATCACATTCACTCATTTTTTAAAGATTTATTTATTTATTTGAGAGAGAGAGAGAGTGAGCAAGAGCAAGTGTGAGTGGGAGGAGGGGCAGAGGGAGAAGGAGAGAGAGAATCCTCAAGCAGACTCCTCACTGAGCATGGAGCCCAATGCAGGACTCAATCCCAGGACCCAGAGATCATGACCTGAGTTACAATCAAGAGTTGGATGCTTAACGGACTGAGCCACACAAATACCCCTCACATTCATTCATTTTAATAATAAGTCACTGCACAATCATTTCTAGTCACTGTCCCAAGTTTTGTTTAGATAATGTCAGAAAATGCACAGAAGGATATAGCACAAGGATATCCAAGGCAAGTCTGTGAACAAAATTTAGAGAACCAGAGGTGGAAATAGGGCACAATTGCAAAATACCAAGAACCAGAGATCAAGATGGAGCTGGGTCCAAGAGCTGGTAAATACTAAATAGTATGAACACATACAAACCAGAGATGATTAGATGGCAAAAACCAGATGAATATTGCTTCATTTCACAAACATGTTACATAACCTATGGTAGACATTTGAGATACAGAGATGACTATATTTTCTTGTCCTTGAGAGTGTATGCATGGATCTCTTTCCACTTGGAATTGGCATGGTCACCAAAGTATTTCTAGGAAGTGACATGTTTTTTATTTGTAGGCTCTGTGCTATAAGACTGTGAGACAGTGATATTCCTTGCTTTGTGCTTTTGTTTTGTTTTTCTTGTGCAGGTTGTTTTTCAAGGTCAAATAATTTCAACTCCTGAACAGGATGAAGTCATAGCTATTGATGATATATCTTTCAGTTCAGGCTGCTTGCCTGCAAATGGTAAGAACTTTTTCTCATTTTGATCCTTATTCTGTACATAAATTCAGTGCATTTTAAACATTGTGTAATGATTTTCATTCTTTGAATGAAATGAAAGCGTTGTATAATGCTCTTTCTTTCTTTCTTTTTTTTTGCCTGATGTTTTGAAGTGGGCTATTTTCCATCATATAACAATGTCTAGGTTTATGCCAGAAGTGAAAATAGGCTATTTTTTCACTGAGTCTGATGCTCTAAAGAGCGGAAGTGATAATTTAGTCTCAGATTTGAAACATTGTAGCAATGTTTACACTGGCTAGTTAAATCTCACCAAGAGAACTCCTTGCCCTTTAGGAGACTAGGTGAAAACTGGCTTCTCTAGGCTTGAAATTGTCTTCTTGGGGAATTGATTTGACTCTTCCACTGAAAGACACAAGTGGAGAGAGATATTAGTTATAATCTATTTTCTATTTAGACTGAAACACCTAAATCAATAAGCCACATATACCAGATCTAAAAAATTATCCATATTGGTCCTTTGATTATATTAACTGAATTCTATTCAATTCACCATGCATATTGTTCTCAATAGAAAAGTTTAATGTTCAAATTATCAATTGGTCAGGATAAATTAATTTAGTCTAATGATCATGCAAGAATCATATATATGATTATAGATAGTTGATAGCTTTTTTTCCTTTTTAAATGTTATGATATAGCATAATAAAGACAGCTATTTTGTAAAGAAGATTCTAAGTTCTAATTTGGTACAAAGATATGGTAGTTGTGGTCAATTACGTTTCAAGAACAGAAGAGATGAGTTGATCTACCTAAAGGAGACCAAGGAATCTTGATAAAGGATGCCTGTATTATGCTTTGATTTTAAGTAGCACTTGTGCTGGTATAAGAGATTTATAGGAATGTGTCTCTTGCCACTTAGACCATGGTAGGGTTTTATAGGAGCTGCGGACAGCTCCTTCCACACTGGAATACGAAAAGATTTCTTTCATTTTTATATTTTCAGTTCTCAGTATATTTTAGATGAGAAATCATGATATGATATGATAAATTGAAATATAGATAAATTGAAATGGAGAACTTTAAGGGAACAGACTGTAAGCTCCACCCATTTCCTAGAAGTATAAACCTCAATGCCTTTTCACTGACAGAAGGTAACATTTATAGGATTTATCGGAAGGGAAGCAATAGATCAGGAGAGAACATACTGTTGCCCGCAGGCAGAGCAGACACAACTACGTCTGTTCTGCCGTTCAGTCTCTCCTCATGCTCTCTCTTCTGTTACCCTGCATGGTATTCCTGGGTCCAGAGCGCGGCCAGCTTGGGCTTGATTTGTAATGGGGCAGCTAGTCCCTAACTGTGATCACTTCAGCAGGATCTTTATATATCTCATTTTATAGTTTCTGCAGAAACTGAGATCTGCCAAACATGATCCCCAGCTAGTCCTATGTATTGCTCAGTCTAGCTAATCACCCCCCAAAGAAAATAAGGAATGAAATCAGCTATTGGCTGGACTTTTCCTAACTGTAAGGAAAATTAGGACCTGGCCTCTGCCATTGAAACTTTGCATTACAAATGTACACAGGAGCATGCTGGGGTTTTGCTTGGGACTTGACATCGCCTCTAATAGGACTCTGCTATCATTTCACAGATGAACTTGCTCTCCATCTTTGGACCTGGGAATCAAAGCCATTTCCTTAATTACCCATGATCCATCTACTGGGACAAAGGCCAATGTAGATGGATGTAATAAATATTCCAAAGACAAATGCCAGATTTTTAGTAAGCACTTAAAAGAGCTCTATAAGATCACTATAGAAGTGAAAAAGCAATAGTCACAGGAGTGAGAGCACAAGAAGTTGGACATTCAATGAAAGGTCATGGTCAAATAGAAAAAATATTGGTGTCTATAATTTCTAAGACGATAGTTCCAGATAATGTTATAGCCATATTGTTTTTGAGGTGGTGTGGAAATAAAGTTTACTGAAGATAAGGCATGAATTTTAAAGCAAAGTTATTGGCTAGGCCTTTCACATGGATAATAAATTCATACAACATTACAAGGTTTGGGATTAGAGGAGATTTTGAAATCCCAAACTGAAGTCTTCCATGAATATGGATGCATGGATGACCCAGGGCAGTAAGTTGGATGTCATGAGCCAAGACGTTTCCACACACAGAAGAATAAATGAATCAACATCAGGAATTTAGAAGAATGGCGACTTTAATTTTAGGCCTTGTGTTTACTGGGGCATTGGGAAAGGATGTCAACCCTCTGGAGAAGTGCAAAGAAGTAGTTTCTTTTTGGAAAAAGCCAGTATCCAGGTAAGGTCACACAGTATGTTCTTTGAAGTTGAGGGTGCAGGGAGTTTTGTTTTTTGTTTTTCAAATAGAATGAGGGTTGATGGCATATTTAAACTTTTGGGAGGAAGACAAAGCAGCATGAGGATTAATAATGGAGAAAAAGAATAAAGTGTAATGGAATAAGATTGATATTTGGTTGGAGTTGCATTTTGTAAATGGTGGGGATGTGAGAGATGGTAATATTATATAACATTAAATTTCCAAATGATTCTCTCTAGTCAAGTTCAGAGGCTCTAATGATAGACTAACCCTAGTCAATCACCAGAATCAAAAAGAGAAGTGATTGATTCTGAGCTTTACCCCAGACTGCTAGATGGGAATCACTGAGGATGGGGCCTGCATTTTAAAAAAGGTTCTCAGGACACTTTTTGTGAAGCCAGCTGACCTCAGGTTTAAGAATTGAACTAGGATTTGGGACGCCTGGGCGGCTCAGTCGGTTAATTACTGGACTCTTGATTTTGGCTCAGGTCATGATCTCAGGGTCATGGAGCCTGCTCTCTCTCCGTCTTTTTCTCCCTCTCCCTCTGACCCCCCACCCCCAACCCTGCCCCTGCATGCATGCCCGCACTCTCTTGCTCTTAAAAAAAAAAAAGAAGAACCAAACTAGCATTTGGGAACCATGTGTCCTGGTCTCATGTTGATTACTGCACTTGGCAGTGAGTGTTCTGGGACAGAGTGTCAGCTGAATAGAGAGTGGTTTCAGTCTCATGCAGTCCTGATGGTGATGATCAGGGTGCATCTGAGACATGTAGGCAGAGCCAACTCAGCCTTTTCCAGACATCACCATCAGAAATCTTACCCCAGTGAAGGGTGGAGTTAGGCATGGATTTGAATGCAAGAAAAGAGGAGTTTTCTTAGGTGACTTAAGAAAACAGGAGGAGATGGACAGTTATGATGTGATTCTTCAACTTTGATACTGTTAAAGTCAAGGACTAAGGGATTTCCTTGGTATTTGCTTCATGCTTACATTCTTAAAATGACTGTTGAGGTTCTCTACATCTCACATCCAGGGCAGGAGGAAGGCAGAAATGAGAAAGGGCAATGTTTTTGGCCATGCTATTGGCTAGATGATTGTCACATGGGTACCTTGGTTGCTAGGCAGACTAATAAAACTGAGTATTTGGATTCAGCCTCTGTAATAGAGGCAGGCAAGGAGAACAGGTTTATGAGCTGTATGAGCAAATATTTTCCAGAGAAACTCAACATCAGCATACTTAGAAGTAAATTCCAGTTTTCTTTCAAATCTGTTCCCTTGCCTATATTCTCTTTTTAAATTATTGACATCTGGTCTCACTCAGTAGCCTAGGAGTCATTCTTAAATCATTCTCCCCTTTTCTTACCCCTGTATTAATTTAGTTAAAAAATAGTGGTGAGGGCGTGTCCTTACATTTTTCAAATTGTCTCCTCTTATTTATCATTATTATTTATCCAACTGTGACTTCATTTAAGTATGTATTTTTCCCCTGGATTTTTAAAAATTCTGGTTTTGATCTATTCAGCTCTACTATCCAGTACTATGTACTGTCCACCAGATTATACTTCCTAACATATAAATATGACCAATCTCTACTTGTTAAAATCTATCAATAACTCTTATTGTGTCTAGAATAAAATTCAAAAAATTTTGAAAGATTTTATTTATTTATTTGAGAAAGAGAGAATGAGAGACAGAGAGCACGAGAGGGAAGAGGGTCAGAGGGAGAAGCAGACACCCTGCTGAGCAGAGAGCCTGATGTGGGACTCGATCCCAGGACTTCAGGATCATGACCTGAGCTGAAGGCAGTCACTTAACCAACTGAGCCACCCAGGTGCCCAAAATTCAAATTTCTGATAAATTCTCATGATTTCAAATTTCTAAGCTCTTGTGATCCTGCTCTTGCACACCAGCCCAACTTCCTCCTTCACAGTTGTACAAGAATCCCCAGACTCGGGCCAGAACAAACTGCTTGGTAGTTTAGCAACACAGTGTCATCTTATTCTTGGGTATCTTTGTAAACTTTGCTCCCTCGGCCTATTTCATGACTTTTTTTTTTTTTTTTTGACTGTCCTCCTACTACTTATTCTTCCAGATTGAGCAGACTGAGTGGAGGTCTCTTTTCTGGGAAGCCTTCTCTTACAGAAAATTCCCCCCCCCACTACCCCCCCCCCACACACACATGCACCGTATTGATTTATTTTCATAGCTAAACACTAAGTTTCTTGAGGAAACAGTTACTAGTGTCTTAGTGCTTTGTGGATCTCCAGCACAGAGCAAACACTTAATAAATATATGTCAACTAAATGACTCAACACTGAACATGTGCAATTATTTAAGTATCAAGTATTTGGGAATTTGAATAAATTCTTCTTTCCTCTGAGCTACAAGTGCTCCATTTCATAGAGCAGAGATTTAAATAAAATATTATGAGACTATTTTTTAGCAGTATTTATATTTATGCTAAGAATATATATTATTTTTTGGCTTTTGTTTTAACATCAGAAATTAAGGTATGTCCTCAAGCTATCTAATGTGATTTTATCTGAGACTTCTAGCTTCCAAAATCATTAGAAGATAAATTTATGTTGTTTAAGTCACGAGATGTGTGGTTCTTTGTTTTGGCAGCCCTAGCAAACAGTTATAGAGGATTTCCTGAGCTAATTCT